AAGTTTGTACTTCATCCTTTATCTCCTTCAAAGGTCATAGAAGATCATGTACAAATGAAATTAAAAAGAGAAGAGGAGAAAAAGTTACAAAAAAAAGGAAAAAAAAAAGAAAAGAAAAGCATAAGTCTAACAAGAAGAAGAAAAAAGAAAACTTTTCTCCTTTAGAAGGACTTCAACAAGAAGAAATTCTTAAGCAAACACTTCTTGTTGAAAAACCTTCTTATGTTCTTCTTTGTAGAAGTGTGCTTAAGTTTCATAATTTAAACCTTGAACCTAGTTCTTTAACACTTGGTATCACACAATTATTAAAAGAATTTGATGATGTATTCCCTCGTGAGGGTCCAAAGGGCCTTCCACCTTTTAGGGGTATAGAACATCAAATTGATTTTGTGCTTGGGGCAAGCCTACCAAATAGGCCCGCTTATAGGACATATCCACAAGAGACCAAGGAAATAAAGAACCAAGTTCAAGAATTATTGGACAAGGGTTGGGTACAAAAGAGTTTGAGTCCTTGTGTTGTGCTTGTGTTGTTAGTCCCTAAGAAAGATGGAAAATGGAGAATGTGTTGTGATTGTAGGGCTATTAACAACATAACAATCAAGTACAGGCACCCAATCCCTAGACTTGATGATATGCTTGATGAATTGCATGGTGCTAATATATTTTCCAAAATAGATCTTAAAAGTGGATATCACCAAATAAGAATCAAAGAGGGTGATGAATGGAAAACTACTTTTAAGACTAAGTTTGGATTGTATGAGTGGCTTGTTATGCCTTTTGGCTTAACCAATGCACCAAGTACATTTATGAGGCTTATGAATCATGTTTTGAGAGTGTATAGGGAAGTTTGTAGTTGTTTATTTTGATGATATATTAATCTATAGTAGGTCTCAAGATGATCATTTAGGACATCTTAGAGATTTTTTATTGATTCTTAGGTAAAACCACTTGTTTGCTAATGTTGAAAAATGTACTTTTTGTGTGGATCATGTGGTTTTCCTAGGATTCATTGCTAGTAAAGAAGGGGTTCGTGTTGACCCCGAGAAAATCAAAGCCATTCAAGAATGGCCTACACCAAGAAATGTTAGTGAAGTTAGGAGTTTTCATGGGCTTGAAAGTTTTTATAGAAGATTTGTGCCTAACTTCTCTACCATTGCTTCACCCTTGAATGAACTTGTAAAAAAAGATGTACCTTTTAATTGGGGTAATAAACATGATCAAGCATTTCAACTCTTGAAAGACCAACTCACAAATGCACTCATACTAGCTTTACCCAATTTTGAAAAGACTTTTAAGCTAGAATGTGATATATGCGTCTGTAATTGGTATAGGGGATGTGTTATTGCAAGGAGGATACCCCATTGCATATTTTTGTGAAAAACTAAAAGCTGCTTCCCTCAATTACCCTACATATGATAAAAAGTTGTATGCATTGGTTAGGGCCTTACAAACTTGAGAACACTATTTAGTGTCCAAGGAATTTGTGATACATAGTGACCATGAGTCACTAAAGTATTTAAGATGCCAAGGTAAGTTAAACAAAAAACATGCCAAATGGTTAGAATTTTTTGAACAATTCCCATATATTATTAAATTTAAGAAAGGAAAAGCTAATGTTGTAGCTGATGCCTTATCACGAAGACATACTTTGCTTATGTCTTTGGGAACTCAAATCCTTGGATTCAACAATATTAGGGAAATGTATGAGAAAGATCTAGATTTTGGTAGTATTTATGCAAATTGTCAACAAAAAGCTGTCAATGGTTTTTACATGGCTGAGGGGTACTTGTATAAAAAAGGGAAACTATGCATACCTAAAGGATCCATGCGGAAATTATTGATAAAAGAAAGTCATGAAGGTGGGCTTATGGGGCATTTTGGGGTTGATAAAACTCTCAATTTTCTTAAAGAAAAGTTCTTTTGGCCCCATATGCAAAAGGATGTCCAAAGGCATTGCCTTAGATGTTTGGCTTGTTTACAAGCCAAGTCTAAAGTCATGCCTTATGGCACATATACACATTTGCTTGTTGCTTCATCTCTTTAGGTAGATATTAGCATGAATTTTGTGCTAGGTTTACCTAGAACCCAAAGGGGAATGGATTCCATTTCTTTGGTAGAAGACCCCATTAGCAAAATGGCCCATTTTATTCCATGCCACAAAGTAGATGATGCAAGCAACCATGCCAAACTCTTCTTTAGGGATGTGGTTAAACTTCATGGACTTCCTAAGTCCATAGTGTCTGATAGGGATACTAAGTTCAAAAGTCATTTTTGGCGTGTCTTATGGTCAAGACTAGGAACTAAACTCCTCTTTTCAACTACTTGCCATCCTCAAAATGATGGTCAAACTGAGGTAGTCAATAGATCTCTATCCACTATGCATAGGGTTTTCTTGAAGGGTAATCACAAATCTTGGGATGAGTATTTACCACACATTGAGTTTGCCTACAACAGGGTAGTCCATAAAACTACCAATATTTCTCCTTTTGAGGCTGTATATGGATTTAATGCTTTGACTCCTATGGACTTGATCCCTCTTCCTAATGTTAATCATTTTATACATAAGGAAGGGGCTTCAAGGGTTGATTTTGTCAAGAAATTACATGAAAGGATTAAATCTCATAAACAACAACAAAATGAGAGATATGTCAAAAGCTAATAATAAAGGAAAAAGAAACAGGATCTTCGAGGAAGGTGATTGGCTTTGGCTTCATCTTAGAAAAGAACGTTTTCCTCAACAAAGAAAGTCAAAACTTAGTCTTCGAGGAGATGGACCCTTTCAAGTCCTACAGCGTATCAATGATAACACTTATAAGCTTGATTTACCCTCTGATTATGGTGTTAGCCCTACTTTTAATGTTAGTGATTTGAAACCTTTTGTAGAAGCTAGTGATGATGAGGATGACTCATTAGATTCGAGGACGAATCCTTCTCAAGAGGGAGGGGATGATGGAAAAACATGGACCAAGGGTCTAACCACTAGAGCTATGGCAATGAGGTTACTTGAAGATTTGACTGCTTTAGAGCTTAGTGGGCCCAATGGACTTGATGGGCCTAGGGTACTCTTCACTTGGGCCTTACATGGATGATCATCTTTTATTGTATTTTGAGTAGCATATGATTCACATATTTTGGTCTTGTATTTTGAACCACATAGATTAATATTTTGGGCTTTAGGCTTATTGGGCCTAGTTTTGGGCTTTTGGTACCCAATATTGGGCTCATTTTGATTCTTGTAATTTTTTCTTTCCATTGCATTTTCTTTTCCATTTTATTTATTCCATTAGAATAGTAAAATGGAAGGATTACTTAAATAGGCTAATTAGGCTAAGTTAGATTTAATTTGGAAGGCATTTAAGTTGCATTTGAGTCACATGTTTTGCACCACTTGTGACTGAACATGTACACCTTCATATCAACCCTAAATGTTTCCTAAATTAAATTTAGATGCATAGAAGCATCTAGGATCATGGCTAAGCACATGGGAGTTGAAGATTTGAATTCAAATTCAAATTTGAATTCAAATCTAGGCACCAAATGTGTTGCTTGAGTCTTGGCGCCACTTGCATCCAATCCGAGCCTATATAAGTCTTCTTCCATCACTCATGTATCCACTTTTGAACATATATAAGAATTTTTAAAATTGAGTTCAGCCAATTCTCTCCCAAAAGTCACCGAAAGCCATTGGCCTTAGTCTTAGGAAAATTTTCACTCCTAAAGCTTGACCGTGAGCTTTCATTTGCCTCTCTTGCTTGGATGCTTCCATTCCTAGCTTAGGGAATTTCTTACTTCTTGTTCATCTCTTCCAAGAGTCTTTTCGGAATCAACCTCAAGAAGATCTCTAGCATTTGGGGAAGGCTAAAGAAGCAAGCTCATCCACTTCTCCAACCTTCCACCATCACCAAGTATATCTTATAGCTTCCAACGATGTGCTTACTTTTGCCTCGGGGTGTATGGTAATAAAATTGTCAAGTATCATTCCTCTGAAAAAAAAAAAAACATGAAATTTTGTTATTGAACAATTTAATGTACAGATATTACTTCATGTCGTCTATTGTATTTTCTGAAACTTTGTAGATGTGCATAACAATGGTTAAGACATCTTTTTATGCCAAAGGAATGAAAATGCAAGCATATTTTGATAGATTAGCATTAGTTAAAATGGGAAAAGCAAACTGGTTGACTTTCGTTGTGGTAAACTAGGATTCAACAATCAAAGTACATTAAAAGCATATACAATTTTATAGAAAACAATTTCAAAGAGCAGCATGTACATGTGGTAGTTAGTCCATATTGCGATGTGATTTTCATTTACAGGAATGATTTAGCAATTCCTGTTTTTTGTTAAATTAGAATATAATTAATCATTTATATATGCTTTCAAAGTTTCAAGCATGTTCTGAGGTTTATGGTCTCGTTTACTTTTGCTTCCATTTTCTGTTCACTTAAAAAACATTACAAATAAAATAAAATACTTGTTGGTTAAGAAACTTCGAGGAAGGTGAAGAAGTCAGCCACGCTGGTTATTATTACAATATAAAAACTTATTTATTCTAAGATGGGGGTGGCACATGCAAAAGAGACTCCGATGCTAAAGTTAGGGTTTGTATGAGTATGAGTCTCGTATAAATAATGCACGTACTTTGGCGTGAATTAGGATTGTGTTGGGCCTTGGACCCGAGATCAGTTATGATCTGATTAGATAGCGGATCTCGCCTAGACCGAGATCGCTCAGGGCATGTCCGAAGTCGTCCTGCGCTGTGATACCGAGCTCGAGCTCGGCATGGCGGTACGGATAATACAAGAGATAAGAAACATTAAGGAACTTCAAGGAAGTCGAAGAATCGATTTATTTACAAGAAGAAACTTGGTGGAAGGCGAAGAAATCAACTACTACGCGTGTTAGTATTTACAAAGTAAAATCTTTTATTCACTTATTTTAAGAAATTCTGTTTTCAAACATGTGTATTCAAGCTTGGTGTTTTGATTTCATTTGAGTGTATAGGGGGAAATAATATACGATGTCTTCCGTTTGTTTTAGCTATGAATTGAAATATGATGTGTTTTTGAGTTTCAGAGGTTCTGATACCCGCCATGGCTTTACCGGTCACCTCTACAAATCTCTCTGTGACAGAGGAATCCACACCTTCATTGATGATGAGGAGCTTCAAAGTGGGGAAGAAATCACACCATCACTTATGAAGGCAATTCAAGAGTCTAGGATTGCCATCCCAGTGTTCTCTAAGAACTATGCCTGTTCCCCATTTTGCTTAGATGAACTTGTGCACATCCTAGCATGTGCTAAGGAAAAGGGTCAATTGGTTTTGCCAGTTTTTTATGACGTTGAACCTTCTCATGTGCGTGATTCAGCACCTAGGCCGAACTTGCATTCTCCGTTGCGTGAGTTTGACACCAACCATTAAAATCCTATGTCATACTTACTCAACAAGATCTCTTGTAGCTAAAGGCCAACCCATTTGGTTGGCCTCGGATGACCTTCAATTCGACATTGTGGATGCCATCCCTAACTACCATTCTAGATAAGTATAAAAAAATCTAAGTATTTGAAATTCTTAACAAAAATAAATTATTATTTTTTAAATTAAAGATATTTAGACATATTTGAGACATGAACCAATGTTTCCTTTTGAATATATACCCTCTAAGTGTATGTTGGATTGTTGTTAGAAAGGTATTAAACATTTATTTGTGCATTCCAAAGCATAAAACGGAGAAGCAACAATACTGATAGATTGACAAAAAAAAAGTGGGTTATGTTCAACGAATACGTAACCCAAACACACACACTAATATTATTAAAAAAAAAAAAAAAAATTATTTTTTAACTTTAAGATAAGTCAGCTTACGTTGGTCTATTGATTTGATTTCTCAGAATTCGTTGGTCTATTGATTTGATTTATCGTTGAAATTCATGGATTTATGTTGCATTTAGTATGACTTCACTCAATTGTACAGGAATGATAATGAATATGATTTTATTGGGAAGATTTTTACAAAGGTCTCTGAAAAAATTAATCGCAATCTTCTTCATGTTGCGGATTACCCTGTTGGACTTGAGTCTCGAGTGCTGCAAGTAAAGTCACTTTTGAATATCGAATCTGATGGAGTCCACATGGTAGGGATTCATGGAATTGGCGGAGTAGGCAAAACAACAGTTGCTCGGGCGCTATATAATTTGATTTCTGATCAATTTGAAAGGTTGTGTTTTCTTGATAATGTGAGAGAAAAATCAAATAAACATGGATTAGTCCATCTCCAAGAGACACTTCTTGCCAAAACAATTGGAGAAAATAGTCTCAAGTTAGGAAGTGTTAATGAAGGAATTCCGGTAATAAAGCATAGGCTCCAGCTAAAGAAGGTTCTTTTGGTTCTTGATGATGTTGGTGATCTAGCTCAGTTGCGGGCAACTGTTGGAGAGACTACTTGGTTTGGTTCTGGTAGTAGAGTCATCATTACGACCCGAGACTAGCGTTTACTAGCACGCCATGGTGTTCAGAGCACATATGAGGTCAATGGGTTAAATAAAAAAAGAAACTCTTGAATTGCTTAGCTGGAGTGCTTTTGGAATTGACAAAGTTGATCCATGTTTCATGACCATTTTAAACCGCGTAGTAACTTATGCGGCTGGCCTTCCATTGGCTTTAGAAGTAATAGGTTCCAACTTGTTTCGAAGAAGTATAGAAGAATGTGAGTCTGACTTGGATCAGTATGAGAGAATTCCTCATAAAAAGATTCAAGACATACTTAAAGTAAGTTTTGATTCTTTAGAAGAAGATGAGCAGAAAATTTTTCTTGACATTGCTTGTTGCTTTAAAGGATATGCTTTGACATATGTCAAAGAAATACTCTCTAGTCATCATGGTTTCTGCCCGCAATATTGTATAGGAGTGTTGATCGACAAATCTCTCATAAAGATTGATGCAGATCATGTGACATTGCATGACTTGATAGAGGACATGGGTAAAGAAATAGTTCGACAGGAATCCCCAGGAGAGCCTGGAAAACGCAGCAGGTTATGGTGTCCTGAAGATATAGCTCAAGTCTTAGAAGAAAATAAGGTAAGACTCATATGTAGTTGGTTTGGTTTTTCAAATTTAACCTTTATCTCTTGTGCTAGTTATATGCTAGATACCTGGATGGTAGTATAATTCTTCCTTTGTTTCCTATCTTTCATTGACATTGTTATTTTGGTATTTGTTGCTTTCTTTTCATGATTTACATATTTATGTAGAATTTTGAGCATGTGTATTGTCTGTGCTTTTGTTTTAAAAGGGAACTAGCAGAATTCAAATCATAATTTTGGAACAACTCAATTTGAAGTAGTAAAATGGGATGGAATGGCTTTCAAGGAGATGGGTAACCTCAAAAGTCAAAACACTTATTATCAGATATGGTGGCTTTACCAAAGGTCCCAAACATCTTCCAAATAATTTGAGAGTATTGGAATGGTGGGGATTTCCTTCACCATCTCTACCATATGATTTTCATCCGAAGAAACTTGTCATGCTGCAGTTACCCTATAGTTGCTGTAGCTCACTGTCTCTCGATTTGCTCATGTCAAAGGATGTAAGATAAAAGTTCTCTACTTCTCTTATTTACTTCTATATCAATAAATTCCTTGAATATTATTTGTTTGGTTCCTTTTTATTTCTCTTTTGTGTATTTTTTTTTGGCAGATTTTTGTGAAGATGAGAGTTTTGAATTTTAACAGTTGTGAATATATAACAGAGATACCCGACGTAGGTGGTGTCCCAAATTTACAAGAATTATCATTTCGCTACTGTAAGAATTTAATTAAAATTCATGGATTAGTTGGATTCTTGGCTAATCTTAAAATATTGGATGCTGATGGTTGTAGCAAGCTTAGGAGTTTTCCGCCTATCAAATTGACCTCCCTCGAAAATCTCCGGCTTTCATATTGTCCTAATCTTGAGAATTTTCCAAACATATTAGGAAAGATGGAAAATGTAACTTTCCTTTATATTTCAGGCACTCCCATAAAAGAACTTCCATTTTCATTTAAAAATCTCACTAGACTTCGAAGATTTAAACTGGAGGATTGTGGAATTATTCAGTTTCCAAGTAGCATTTTTGTGATGCAAAAACTTCGTTATTTGGTTGTTAGCAAATGTGAGGGGTTGCTACTACCCAAAGAGAACAAAGGTGAAGAACAAATGAGCTCAATGGTCTTTAAAAATACGTTTTAGCTTAGTCTTTTAAATTGCACTATATCAGACAAGTTCCTTCAAAGTGGTCTCCCTTTGTTTGCCAATGTTAAAGAATTATACCTATTGAAGAATATATGATTTCACAATTCTTCCTACATGCATTAGAGAATGTCGCTTTTTGACAAAAGTTTATTTGGACGGTTGTTAGAATCTAAAAGAAATTAGAGGGATTCCACCTAACATAAAAACATTCTCTGTAATAGCATGCTCATCCTTGAAAGATTTAGATTTGACACTTCTTCCTACGTGGACCAACGAATGTCTCTTTTTGATGGAGCTTCATTTACATGGATGCAAGAATCTTCAAAGTATTAAAGGGATCCCACGGAATATAAAAACCTTGTATGTGAAATTCTGCTCATCCTTGAAAGATCTAGATCTTACTCAACCTCCTGCATCCACCCAAGAATGTCACCTTTTGAAAGAACTTTATTTGTGTGGTTGTGAGAATCTTCAAGATATAAAAGGGATTCCATCCAACATTTTAGCAATTTCTGCATCAAACTGTCAATCCTTGACTGCCAAGTGTAGAAGCCTGTTATTGAGTAAGGTTGTTATTTTCATCTATATTTGACTCATTCTCTAAATATATATGTTGCTATATGTATGAATGAATTATGATTAACAGGAATTGCATGAGGCCGGTGTACGCAAATATTTTATTTTTCCTGGAACGAAGATTCCAGAGTGGTTTGAGCATTGTATCAATGGATCGTCAATTTCTTTCTGGTTTCGCAACAAGTTCCCTGCAATATCCCTCTGTGTTGTTGCTGGATCCAAAAAATATTCGAGCATTATTCCCATATTTACCATTAATGGCAGGAGAAATTTATCAAAAAGGAGGTGGGTCCATTTGTACCAAATGGATGATCATGTGGTTATTTTTGATGAAATGGAGAAACCAGTCCACATGGATGGAGTTCTTTTAGAAAATGAATGGAATCATGTGGTATGTACTGTATCACATAGTGATTCTTCTAACCCATGTGAAGTGTTTATCAAACAAATTGGAATCTATGTATTCAAACAAGGAAGCAACATGGATGACATCCAATTCACCCAACCATTATGATGGAAAGAAGAGCATACATTGGTGGGTGCGAGAGATTTTCACATGCTGCATGGTTCAAGGGAAATAAAAGAAAAGAGAGGGGAATGAGAATGCTTCAGTACCGATGCAAGTACTTCTGGCCTGTTATATGCCCCCTGTGAAATCTCTTCCTTTCAATTGGTAATAAAATTTTGTGAATTTGGGACAAATTGAGTGGTGTTGGTTGAAAAATATGTAGCAAGAAAGTATGTTAAATGATTCAGGTTCTTGTTTTCCTGTGTATTGGTTTCATTTCTTATAATTCACATTGACTCAGACTGCACATGTATGTGTTGCTAAACATATGAATGAAATCTAATTAACAGGAACTGATGAGGCAGATGCAGACAAAGTGTTCTGGTTGCCAGGAAAAATTTTGGAGAATTATTTTGTGACGCGATTTTTGTGTATTTTTTTATAGTAAAATTTATAAATACACACTTTTTTAACAATCATACTCAAACCATTAAGATCACTCGTAAAAAAATTTAAAAAAAAAAAACTCAAACCATTAAGAATTAGCAGTTTTGTTTTGGGAGTTGCTACGGTACCCTCAAAGATTGAGAGGTTTCAATACATTTTTTTTTGTAAATTTATAAAAATTTTAAAAAAATTAATTTATAAAATGAATAATCCAAATTATATTTGTAAAATGAAAAGTAAGATAAAATTATAGAGATTAAAATTATAAGATTTCAATAATATTATAAAACATTAAAAAAAAGAATTAATAAATAAGAAAAATAAAAAATTATTAAAATTACAATATAGAAATTCAAAAATTTAAGCCAAAAGACAAAAATATATTTAAAAATTATTAAAATTAAAATATAGAAATTTAAAAATTTTAAGTGAAAAGACAAAAAATATACTTAAAAAATTATTAAAATTAAACTATTTAAATATATAATAATATTATTACAAATAAAATTAGAATATATAAAATAAAAATAAAATGACTAAATGATTTAAAAATTTAAAGAATAAAATATCATAAATATTATTTAAATAAATTATTAAAAATATAAAATATAAAATAAAATTATAATTACAACTGTACCAGTACCCTCCCAAATAATATGGGTACCGTAGAATTTCTCTTTGTTTTTTGTTTTTTATGTCTATTTCTTTTCCCTCTTCTCATTTTCTACCTTCTTTTGTTCTCTTTGGCCTTCATTGGCCTCCACAGCAACTCTCTTTTCTTCTCTTACTACATTTTGTGTCCTTATTCTCGTTCTTTTTGTTATATCTTTCTTCTCTATCAATATTAGAGGAATCGAGGCACGAAAATTATACACTGTAAACATATTAAAAGGTTGTGTATAGTTATTTAGATAATATATAATTTTTTTTTATATTTAAAGAATATAATGGTCCATTAAAAAGTAGAGACTAAAAGCGGTTACATACTCCAGTATCCCCTTTATAATATGTATAGATTTTTATTTTAAAATTATTAATATTTAAACTTTGAATTATCAAATATAGAAAAATATTTTAAATTATTAAATATTGTATTTATTGTTAAATTTTAAAATTGAATTTTTTAAAAGAAAACATATATCTAAAAGATAAATTTAGCATACAGTGAAAATTAATTTTTTTTGTCTAAGATTTAAAAATTTAAGTCGATTTATACAAATAAAATACCGTGTCTCATCTTATATATAAGAAAAAAATAAATAATTCACCAAGACCAATCAAAGAAGTTAAATTAGTTAGTTGTAATTAAATGTCATAATTTGAAATTTTATTCCAAACTTACTTATAGAATTAAATTGTGTAGGTGGTAGTTAAATTTAATGACACTACTCAAAATTCAAATGAATAATTTTTTTCAACCAATAAACATGATTTATAATGTTAGTTGTCTAACTATGTTCATGGATCAAAATAATAATAATAATGTTAATTGTTCAATAAATGTATTCATTTTCATGAAAAATGAGTAGAAGACTCGTGAAGTGTATAAAAGAAAATTTTTAATCAACACATTTAAAAACAATCTCATGTTTATTATGATTAAAAATAAAATAAGACTTTTATTTGTTTCTTAGGAATGGAGGTAGTATTTAAAAATAAAAATAAAAGAAACTTAATGCAGTTTAAATTCTTTAAAATTTTAAAATTTCCGGTAACCTAAGAGAATTTATTGAGCTATTTATAGAAGTAGTATGTGAAATTAATGTACCTTGAGAAGAAGAAGAAAATCACATTGAGTGTGATTAAGAGGGTGAAAGCTTCATTCCCTAAGCCACGTGTAATGTCAATTTGAAAACAATTATATTGTCTTTTAAATACATATTGTTGGGGGTAATATATCACTGTCAATAATCTCATACATATACAATTAAATAAACCAATATTTATAAAGAGGATTTAGCTTGTAAATCCATTGATGTTAGGGATGTCAAAAAAATTCATACTCTCGGATAATAAATGTATACTTAAAATTAAATGGGCACTGATGGATAATTTAAATGGATATATTGAGAAGTTGTGCGATGCATTTGCTGAGTCACTTTTTGTGATTGTCATCCACTTGTTTGAATTCATTTTTTCTCTTAGGTAAAGGGAGTGAAATTATCCAACTCATATGTATGACAATAGTCGAGGGTAAATGGGTGGGATTAAGACCCCAAATTGTTTGGACATCTTTGTTGTGGTTGTTTGTAACTATGATCAGGAATATGAAATCCCTAACTTATGTCTCTTTGGAACCACACGAGGGTTAATTGCAAATCACATTATATATTAAATTTAGGTATAATTTATAATTAAAACTTTGTATGAGGATTAAAGGACTATGTGAATTTAAATTGGTCTTTTCAGTAATGATATTAATGTTTGTATGTGTGATTTAATTGAATCCATGATGGATTGAACATAGTCGTGCAGAATCATACTAATTTTCCCTTTTCAGTAGCAAAAACCCTTGTGGTTGTGCCTCTAGATGTTGGAGTTTTGGTAGCTCTAAGTGCCTCAATAAGAAGTTTGGCATCTAGTGTTGCATCACTTCCTATGCTCATCAATAGATAACTTGTCTTTTTCCTCCTTTAGATTGTTTAAAGAAAAAACAAAATCAAAATTCTTATGTGTCATGAATACCTAGAATATTTGGCCATCTGTAATGGAAATTACATTAGTAGGAATATAAGCTGAAACATCTCCCGATTGGGTTTCCACAATTGGTAAAGCAGTCATACTTCCTTCGCCTAACTGAGAACTTAATTTAGCGGCTCTTTCCAAAAGACGCGAATGCAAATAAAAAACATCCCCTGGATAAGCTTCGCGACCAGGCGGTCTTCGTAATAGAAGACACATTTGGCGATAAGCCTGTGCTTGTTTGGAGGTATCGTCATAAATAATTAAAATGTGACGTTCATGGTACATTAAATATTCAGCCAAGGCTGCTCCTGTATAAGGGGCAAGGTATTATAATGTAGCTGGAAAATCCGTTGTTTCAACTACTACAATAGTGTAGCCCATTGCTCCTCTTTCTTGTAAGGTAGTCATCACTTGAGCCACAGAAGATGCTTTTTGACCAACAGGTACATAAACACATATTACATTTTGTCCCTGTTGATTGAGAATTGTATCTGTGGCTACTGCTGTTTTACCCGTTTGTCTTTCTCCAATAATTAATTCTCGCTGGCCACGTCCTATGGGGATCATCGAATCAATAGCAATAAGTCCTGTTTGGAGAGGCTCCCATCCTGACTCAGGATGAATGCTGGCGGCATGCCTTACACGTGCAAGTCGGACGGGAAGTGGTGTTTCCAATGGCAGACGGGTGAGTAACGCGTAAGAACCTTTAAAAGAATTAATTTTTTGTACGATACAAAGTACATTATTTTCTTCTTGTAACCTTGTTTGTTCTTCATGTTCATCAACAGATTCATGTACGCAAAGTATGCCAAGTTGAACTTTTGTTTAGTCACATGTGATATAAGGCAAGCTTGTATGCTCAAAAGATATGAAGATACTAGATTTAAGAAGTTTTGTTATGAATTTGGAATCAAAATAAAGAGGACTGTTTTAGGTATGCATCAATACAATGGTGTATTTAAGCATGTGATTTGCATATTGACCAAAAGATCTAGAAGCTTGCATGTATAATTTAGCCTACCAGAGTAGTTCTAGGTAGAAGTTATCAACATAGAAACCAAGGTCGATTAATAACATTGGAGCATAAAATACCAAAGGAGTTTTTGGTTTGTAACTTATGTACATATTAGTGATCAATGAAGGAATAAACTTGATATCAAATCAAAGAAACACACTTTTATCGATTAGGGTGAGTATGAGTTTGGCTATCAACTTTAGGATAATGAAAACAAAAAGACAATTCATAGTATATGTGATTTTCAATGAAAAAGTGATGTGCTAGGGCATACATAACATAAACACTAGAAACATGAAACAAAGTGAGCCAATGTATGCAAAGGAGGATGATGCCCTAAAAACTCCTATCATTGAGAGTCATCATCTAGAGGAATCAATTTAACATAATAGTGAGCAACAACTCCAACAAAGCCTTCTACTTCAACCCTCGTATTTAAAAGGTGTTTTATCAACCTCGAAGTGCCTAATAGAAATACATGAATTTGAGATTCTTTATAGATGAAATAAGTCTAAAAATTACGAGGAAGCATGTTAAACCATAGTACCAACTAGTGGAAGCTTACCATGAAAGATGAGATGAAGTCTTTGATCTCCAATCTAACATGGAAATTAGTTGAGTTGCTTTTGGAAAAGGAACTTCAAAACAATGGGTTTATCAAGGAAAGGAAGAGC